GGTGGATGGGAGAGTTGGAAGGGGTCGACCTCAGCGAATGTACCTCCATCAGATTGAGGACGTTTTTAGCAAAGGCCAGCTTAGGAGTGTCCTAATTAAGTGAATAGCAATGTACCTACCTATATAGTTTACGTTTAAAAAATTTGGCTCTCAAAAGAAATTTCAATCATTGTACTATTGATACTTGGCTCTGTTGACTAATAAGTTTGCTGACCACTGGGCTAGGGCCGTAGTGTGGCTTTTGTAATGCAAGAAGCCAATTTTTTTCAATAGGAAAGAGTTGGATTCTAATAGAAGCTCAAACCCAGACAAAGAGAAAACCCAAATCCGGTCCCGGTGAGCCAAGTGAAGACCACATCAGAACTGCACGATGAGGCCAGCGTTTCTGGAACGCTAACAGTGGCTGGCACGTCATCTGGAGCCACAGGGACAGGGTGGCTGAGTTTTTACGATCAATTGTATTGATCCAGGAAAACGGAAACCAAAATAACTCTGTGAGGTAAGAGGCCTGGCGGAAAGGGCCGTGCTTCCTGGGGCACAGTGGGGGTGAGGGGAGGGTGTTAGGGTTCCCAGGCCTGGATCTGAGGAAGGACTGGAGGTGGGCATGGTTGGGTGCCCTCCCCTGCACCCTTGGGCCAGTGAGTGACTCCCAGGGCCAGTCTTTGGCAGGGTCCAGGCGTTCATCATGTAAACCTTACTGTGAGTCAGGCCCAGCAGAATGGCCTGCCCGGGTAGCCAGACCCCTGAGGGCCAAACCCACACCCTGGGGTGTTCAGAAAGCCACCTTCCAGAGAATTCCACTGGGTCCTCATGTTCCTCACCCAACTATGGATACGCCCATTGACCAGGAAGCGTAGGCCACTCAGATGTGCTCCATGACCTGACTGAGGGCGTCAGTCCCAGGCCTACCTGACAGCCCCGTCTCTCCTGGAATTAACTGAGGCTGTGACGGGACACAAGGACAGGCCCCGGGGGACAAGGAAGGAGCCAGCAGGCAGCAGCCGGAGGGAGGGTGGGAGATGGCGTGAGGTGGGGCCGGAGTACAGGGAAGTGGCAGGCCACAGGGAGGGGCTGGCCACAGCGCAGCCAGGCAGGGGCCAGGGGAGAACATTCAGAACTGCCAGTCCTGCGCCAGAAGTGAACAAAAGTCATTGTTACAGTCACGGACATAGATCCTTATCTTCTAAATGGTATATTTTGGCGTGTGCGTGTTTGTTCTCTCTGATGCTGGGAGAGGGGAGGCGGGGTCACATGGCCAGGCTGGGCACACTTTCACCCAGGATGGGCGCAGGGAAAGCGTTCCGAGGGAGGCCAGGCCCTGACAGGGACTGCAGGTCCCACACTCCCCTTTTCACCCTCTGCCCGAGATGCCAAGTTGCCTGCCCAAGCCCCGCACCAAAGGGCATAGACAGTGGGCAATGATGGCCAGGGCCTGAGGGCAAACAGAACATTGAGGTCCCTGCCCCAGCCACCAGCCCTTGCAGTGGTCACTGGGGTCAGCCGGACACAGGCCCACATGCTGGCTGTGCCACGTTCTGTACACGTGTCCTTGACAAGTTGTTGTTTTTTATTATTATTAATTATTTTTTTGTTAATCCTCACCTGAGACTATTTTCCCATTGATTTTTTAAAAAATATTTTTTTATTGCCCTGACCGGTTTGGCTCAGTGGATAGGGGGTCGCCCTGCAGACTGAAAGGTCCTGGGTTCGATTCCGGTCAAGGGCATGTACCTTGGTTGCAGGCACATCCCTAGTGGGAGGTGTGCAGGAGGCAGCTGATTGATGTTTCTCTCCTATCGATGTTTCTAACTCTCTATCTCTCTCCCTTCCTCACTGTAAAAAAATCAATAAAATATTTTTTTAAAAAAATATTTTTTTATTGATTTTGGAGCTACACAAAATAATAAGTAGGTACTGGATATTTTTGCATGC